TCACTGTCTATTTGTCTCAACTCGTAATCTATATATTATGACTAGTAAACTTTCATGAGAGATTTACATTCAAAGAAGATTAGAATTTATATCCACAACGAATCTTGGTCACTCATTCTTCTATAATAATATAGTTTTATTCTCTAGAATGATTTTCATAAAACCATCTTAGTTTTTTTCCTAGTAATCAGGTAAAATAATTCATAAATGAGCATGAATCACTTCTCTTAAAACGGATATTATCTAGTGAAATAAAGTATTTGCATACAAGAAAAGAACACCCAAAATCCCTTCTCCTCTCTTTCGCACACACGCACTCTTTTTCTTCTGCTTCTCTGTTTTCGTTTCTTTTGTGTCGTTGAAACACTTACGAGTGTTTTCTTTTTTTGTTCCTTATTCTCTTCTTTCTCTTTGATTTACTTTACTTCTTTTTTTGGAAATCGTACATTAAAGTTACAATTCAATTATATTCTTTAAATTAAATGATTCATTTTGTATACATAATGTAAACAAAGGCATGACTAAATCTCACAACACTGATTCAAATCTGTTGTCAATAAAATATAGAATCTACGAGAGTCATCAGATAGAAAATTACTTCATGATAAGACTCAACCTCATACTTATACAGGATGTATAGATGAAGAGAAAACCCACATCCACATGCTTATCAGAACTGTAAATTCGATACTGTTATCAGTGGCATCTATTTTAGAACACAACAAATATTGAAGAGATCTGTTTTTTTTACTATATTTTAGCTTTGGCGTCTATTCCAAATTTGAAACTGTAAATTCACGGGCTTCGCCATCAAAGGGTTAAATTAAAATTTATTTTAAATAAACAGAAAGAATGACACCCTCATATGTGTGTATTAATTTCAATTCAAAGATTTGTCAGAAAAATTTATAAAATGAAAAACTTCATAAACGATAGATCAACATTGAGAATGTATCTCTAATGAATCTTTATTTTGATTACGAATAGTATGAGAAATAATAATTTTCATCTCAATAGGACTCTTACTTTGTTTTTCCTCGTTCTACTTTCGTCAATCACAACGACAGAGTCAATATTGGAAGCAAAAAAACACAATAGCATGAAGCAATGGAAGATATAAAGAAGAACCGTTTACTAATCATCATCATATTATATGTAGAAAGGATTAAGAAAAAAAAACGTAAGTGAAGATCAAGTTTTTATATATACTGAATACCTAAAATGTTTTTGTGTTCTTTTCTTCAATGTAGAAATATGCCAGTTGTCACGACAGGAGAGAAGGAAGCATTGACTGATGTAAATGTCAGCAAAAAAAAAGCGAACACCACAGATAAAAACATGTTAGACGAAAGAGAAAGAAAAACAGAGAGACTAGGGTACCCATATATTGACTGAATTGTTTATTGGTTAACATGTATATGAAATAGTATCTTCCTTTGTAAACTATGGATAGGCTGGATATGTATTTGTAGAGTATTTTTTTTTAATCTTATTTTGTTAGCTTGAATATATAAGTGCCCATGCAGTCAAATAACAACCAGAATAATGTTATCACGTGTTTCGATTAAAAATATTTCATTTTAAAAATCACAAATATTTGGTACATGAAATCATATCGAATGTGTTACATATGAAAAAAAAAGTGTAGTCACTAAAGTTCAGTAATTTCAAAAGAACTGAAACCAAGAATCGAATTGAATTCGTAGAAAAAAACTGTTTGAAACTGTCAATAGAATCGGAACCATTTAATTATTAGATAGATGCAAAAAAATTTTCTAAATCTGTTTTGATAAATTTTTATTTCTTAAGTTTTATAATAAAATATACCTGTATGTATGTTAGATCTCGTTTTAATTAAGAGAGCTTCCATGAGCTGACCGAGCATCGCTCCAATATACGAGGCACTCGATAAAATTCTTTTTTCCAGTTTTTTTGCTGACAGTGTGCAATATCTCTAATCTCAAGAATAAAAGAGTCAAATTTTCTTAAAAAAATGAATTATTAACGATAACTCGTGACACAGCCGCAGAGACTCAAGTGAGGAATAAGTAACTCAATGCACCAGTCCTTCCACTCACCTCATTATTTGAGCCTCTGTGATGTCCAGGCTTGTCAAATTGAAATTTCGGAAATTAGGAGTTTTTTTATTAAAAAACAAGAGTTTACCAGGAGAATTTCTTTTATAAATCAGGAGGTTTTCTATTTGAAGTTAAGAGAACATTAGATGACTTTCTTGTAGAAAATTCGAATTTTCGCTCACATAAGCACTTTTATCTCTTTCATATCAATTTAATACAAATGATATTATTTTCACTTGAGTTTAATCACAAGTAATGTTTTTCTGCTATATAGAAGAATCACGAAAACATTTTTTTTTAGTTATATCTGTTATATACATGTGACCAGTTAATATTCTTATCTCCATTTTTTCCAGATTCTTTTTTATTGTGATCTATCAGTCAAAATTCTTTTTCATTGTGAAGTTCAAGCAAAAGTATTTAAATACATTAAAAGAATGGTAAAAAGACTCTTACCAGAGTTGGAAAAAAGACAATCATTCTTTGTTTCTTACATCACTATATGAATCGCTTACACATGCTTCTTCGCTCATTTTTTCAATGAGTGTTTTATATACCATTAATATGCTATGAAAAAAACAAGATAAGTTAACTCTTAACAAATGAAGTTGTGTCCTTCTTAAGACTTTAATCTATTAAATGGACATTTTTGTTGAAATGGCTATTACTTCTGCTTCTTTTTTATTGATGCCTTCGTTTTTTTTTGTTGTGTTATAGGTCTATTCATTCTTTTCATGTTTGTAATTCCTATCAAACTTTGACAAAAAAATAGCAGTGCAAATGAGCCCATAGCAACTCCATACTAATAATGAAAATGAAACGTAGGAATCTTGCTAGGTTATTCAAGGTATTGTCCTATTCTGAGCTAAAAAGGATCCGACATGATTTCCAAGAAATATAAAATTCTTTCCAGACGAAAGACATCTTGCCTGGTCATTTAAAATTTTGTCTATCGGTCTCTTCTCTGATTTTCAAGATCTTATTTTTCAGACAATAACATGTACTTTTCTGCTATCTCCAGTAAAACAAACACTTTATATGCAAATAGGCCATGTAATTGATGATGTTTTTTAGAGAAAAATGAAATAAAAGCAAGTATTTTCTTATTGGTTACTATAACTATTAAATACTGCGATAGTTCTCTTTTTTCTTTTAACTCTCTTACTGGTTCAAAGTATCGAAATCAACCAAGTAGGAAAAAATCTAAAAAGCAGGAGAAAAGTCCAAAAAACAGGAGGTTTGGCAAGTCTGGTTCAGATGTATAAATTTACTCGTACTAAAATAATTCTTATGAAAACATTTAAAGTTGATCTCTAACATAAATGAGAAATGAGTCAATATTTGCTGAAACTCATATCAAGTTACACTCACACTCTCAAGAATCTATGTCGAAGCTTTTACACTTGTACTATTAGCTGTTTCTTTTTTTTTCAGAACATATGGCAGTCATTTTGCATATCCTTGATATAATTGTTTATCAAAATTTCTTCATTAGCCATAGTCCTTTGACTTTTAACTATCGTCAATATTTAAGTGTTCATTTTTATGTAAATCTTGTGCTGTTGATTGACGGGTACCAAAGTAATTGTCGTTCTTTAACTGACGAAGTTGTTTCACTATATCGATTTCTTCTATCCAAATCGTTTGACTCATAATGGATGTAATCAAGTAGTTCTGGATAAAAATCGAAACCATAGTCAGCTTCATTATTGTATCGATATCGTGCTCTACATCGGGGCTCTTGTGTGGTACTTTAAAAAGTGATGTAGTTGGTGTAACAACAATAATATGTTTTTACCATAAAATGAAAACTATAATGAATATTCATCATACATTTAGATCATAGGAAATTTCGGAGCGAAATGTCAATTTGAGAGGTAATATTCATTGTTTAAGTTCGTAGAAGTGTTCACTAATCGATTTGTGATTGGATTAGAAAAAAAATTTTATTCGAAAAATTCAGATATCTTCAATAAAATCTCATAAATGTGAAACAAGAGAGAAAAGGATATAACTGAAAAAATGATTAGCATACATTTTGTTGGATAGATTTTTCTATTATAATTTTTTTCATTTATTATTAAACTTTTTTTTATTCATTCGTTTTTCTAAATAAATAAGAATGAGAACAATTAAATTATATTAGTTAATAATCGTATTTATTAATGAACAAATTTTTTAAAGAAGATTCATTTAAAATATTTTTTGCTTGATTAACATTCATTCATCGGCAAATGTACGAGTAAAGTGAATGGATCCAATGATAATGTATCCTATAGATATTCTTCAATATCACTAATATAAGTTTCATTTTTATTAATATTTTCATTATTTGTCATTGAATGGACTTTTTTCTTACATTGAAAGCATTTTTTACTAAATAAATATCGATCATAAAAAGCAAGTGATCGAAAAGGAACTGGTATCCATAACCATGTTCGCAATGGAG